AATAAAAATAATAATATTAAAAAAAACAAAATGTATTTTTAAAATAATAATTAAAAAAAAAATGCCCACCCCCCACCAAGGTTACACACTCTGCATCACATACACACACACACACTGCAATATCTACACACACACACACACAGCATTCTATACACACACACTGCATTCATACACACACACACACACTGCATTCTATACACACACACTGCATTCATTATATACACAAAATAAATATTCAATTAATGTAATTTTTTTGGGATCTAATTTTATTTAGAAATTTACCAGTAGCTGCTGCATTTCCCACCCTAGTCTTAGACTCGAGTCAATAAGTTTTCCCAGTTTTTTGGGGTAAAATTAGGGGTCTCTTATATTCGGGTTGACTTATAGTCAAGTATATACGGTACTTATGAAGAATATTGCAGCTTTTTTTTTACGAAACATTACAACTCCCTCGTTAAATGGTTATGTTCTGTAGAGTCTTTGGGTTCTCTCACCCCAGGTAAATGCCAATCCTTTTAGAAGCGGTTTGAAGAAAAGGGAAAAAAAAGATGGGGTTATGCACATACATAGAGATTTGCCGCCCTGAGATTTGATATGTGGAATTAACAATCCTGTAGTATCAGTGTAAATTTAGTTCAACCCGGATGATACGATTAGGCCTTTGAGTATTGGGTTAACCTGTTCTAAGCAATTCGAAAAATAAATTGGGGGGACCGTGCCCCGAGACTCTAGGCAACACCAAACTGTAAAGGTTATGTTACTTGAAGTACCTATTTAAGACATTAAATGGTCTACTTTGTCTTTTGTTAAGCTACTAGAAAGTTTAATATTTCATTATTAGTGAAACTATTGAGTAATAGTTTACTCAGTATGCATAGCTTTAAAAAAGACTATTCATGTGCACAAGAAGAATTTTAAATAAACCTATTAATGATATCCGTTTTGCAAGATCTTCCATGGACCACTTTAATTTATTCTTTACAATGAATATGTATCACAGACAGAGGAAAAGTAGAGACAGACCGTTTGATTGAAGTTCAGTTAAGAATATAGTTATGTAGAGGGATGAACTTCTGGGCTAAATAAATCTCCCTCATTTCCCACCTACAGTTTATAAGATTTAGTTAACACACCTGTCTCCTTGAGGAGGCTCCACAAGACTCAAAACACCCCAACGATGACAAGTCCACTTTAAATACCTAACATTTTAATATTTTATTCTGGCATTAGCTGCGCTTGGTACTGCATATCACAAAAGCAAAAATTATAAATAAATTGCAATGTGTAAATTCACATGTTTAATACTTATTTAGATATTTCCATGCATAATACAGAAAAAAAGATCAGAGTAACAAATACTATGAATTAGGTCATGCTTTTCCCATTAGCCAACATCTACCCCGTAGTATATTGAAAAATACAATTCCAAGAAAAATGTAAAGCAATAAATCGGCCACGTATATGTACATACAGATCTATAACAATTTAAACTTTTCAATAATAAATGTTGCTTTCCAATTAACAAGACTGAGTACAAAACAGCTCCAGCAGTAGTAATGACAGAAAGAGTTAAATAAAATAATCAATATGCATCAAAAAAAAAAAAAGTACTTTATCTTGGTCAAAAATCTAAAAATCTCAAAACAAATTACTTATTCATTAAATAAAAATGTCAGGAACAAAATGTATTCTTCAAACTGTCTTCACAACTGAAGAACCAATATCTACTTTTCTAAAAATAGTATTGTAAGGTACAATTTTATTAGTATTATATAAAGCAGACAATTATTCATACAGAATGTTGGATATTCTAAAGTCACTTAATCCTCTCAGTAACTCAGACAGTGCATACACTGCATCAATTTAAAATAAAAATGGACAAGGGTTCAATAAGTACGCCAACGTCATCTAGCACGTGCAGATTGTCAAGACAGGCCAACCAAATGCATTAGTAATACCGTTAAAACAACGGAACATTGCTTAAAACTTTATAGAGGCAGCTTAAAGTGTTTTAGTGATGAATGAAATAATTCTATTTAGTGGAGTTTTGCACTTGAAATTTTAAGCTCTCAAGGTGAGTTGAAAACAAAATAATGGACATGAATCATGGATCATAGGAACCAATGAAAGATTTCTGCTAACTGCTAAAAATGTTGAGAACTTAGGAAAAACGCATGAGGGCTATATTTTTTTTGCACTGTATGGCATTTAATTGGCCCCCATTTTTGTCTGAACAACAAATTTTGCACACATCAATGGATGATAATATTAATTTTAGATATAAATGGACCTTTTCCTACATGGGTACTCAGTGATATAGAGTACTAACATGTCTTTTTAAAATTACAGCAGATGGAATAGGAGAGATCCATTACCTTCTTCACTCTATTTCAAAAAAGCACCAGACTATTTTTTCTTAAAATAAATTACTCTAAATGATAAACAAATCCATATATCTCAATGACTCTTAACCCATGGGTAAGGACTCAAATTTGAAACCCCATGCTATTCAGATAAGCATTTTCTTCTAAAAACTTGAAAATGTATTGCCTTTCTTCATAAATAGTAATTTCCTAGACTTACGCCTTCAATGATGGTAAATGGTTAACATCTGATGTTTTTGCTGAACCTTCAGATTGTGTGATGGAGACGCTTACTGTGTCTTGTGATGTCATCTTACATACTAAATACATGTCTATTCATCATTTAAAAGATACTAAGCATTAACACATTACAATAACAGAAGACCATTTAGGTTGGCAGTTCCAAAAGCCATATAAACATGATCTAAAAGTTCAACCACCATGTTCTTTGGACACTTGCTAAATATGAAGAACTTCCCTCCTGTATTGTCAAGACCAACCACACCAGAACTTCAATAAAGGATTTTTAAAATGCTATATAAAATTATACAGTGCAAAATATAAAAGTCTGTGCCATCCATGCCATGGACTTCCATGTCATCACAAAAGGTGCATGAGTACATGTCACATCTGTATCATTATATGCATTAACGTGGGCAATAACAGGGGCATATAATGAAGTTATTTTCAAGCAGGAACCACAGAAAATAGTATTAACAAAACTGATACCGTTATAAGACATCAAGGATCATTTCACAAGGTCAACTGGAACCAAGCATATTTATATTGATAAATTGAAATAGTAAAATAAAAGAACAGATTAGTACTTACCAGAGCTTTACTCCCAGTTATCTGCATGCAGGGGTCAGCGCAGGGATTAGAATGTGAAAAAACAAATACAGTAAATATATTAGTAAATTCAAGAAAGGCTACCAAGTACTAATTAGTTAATTGTTAGTTTCAACAGTTTTTTTTTTTTTAAATTGTGCTATCACATATAAAACGGTACAGAGAAAAATGCAAGACGGTAAAAGAGATTACAGAGGAAAACATGCTATTATAGGAACAAATAGAACCCGCTATTAGTAAAGAAAAGCATGCATTAGAATATATAGAAGATCTGTATAACTGGTTATTTGTACTGAGCTTACACTACAACTTGTAATGTGTAGGAGGTCTATAGGGCAATATGATGGAAGAGAAATACACACACAAACATGCACACATAGAAATAATAATGTATCTCTATATTAAAAAGTGTGGTGCACTAAAAAATGATGATGCTGTTTAAAGTTATTTGCTGTAACAGTATTCATATACATAAACTGTGATGCCACCATCACTACCATTAGAATATGAATTTCAGACTACCAGCGTGAGTGGGTATTAGTAGCTAATTATTAATTAGTGCATTTAGAGTCTTTTGGGGGATGTATCTGTCAAACAAGGGTTGGTTAGTACTAGTTATCATCTGGTAGAATGTGTTTGGTGATGGATAAAGGAAATCAGAATATGACCATTGAACACTGGACAGGTTATTATTCTGGATTAAGGTAAGAAAACCAATAAGAAAAGGTAGAGCATGTAAGCTTATGATCCAGGGATAACGATAGGAATCTAACAGTGAAATGAGAAGAAGGATACAGACAAAGTGCATGACATGGAATATGTGATTCTTGTAGTTACTAAACGTAGAGGATATGTTTCTGTTACTAAGCTATTGATAACACTCTCGGATGTGTTGGTACTTTGTGGTGACTTGACAAAGCTTCATAGTTGAGCAGAAACATTGTCTTTTGGCTTGATCCTATTAAAGACTGCTTTAAGTCACATTTGTGTGCCCAGACTGTCTTTGGTATTTTCTGGTGAGGCTGGCAATAAACACTGTATTCATATAAAATGGCCAATAACCAACATAAATGATGCAACTTGATCATGATTTTTTACCTAATGGATAGCCGAGGAAGGCTGTATTGGAAGCAAGGGGAACAATTGCAGCCTAAGCCACTTGCATTCAGAGGATTATGATCTACAGTCTCGCAGCAACATCTGGCTGGCTATAATGAAAGTACTGCTAAAGTATAGAAAAGTGGAGGAGTTGAACAGGGCAAATTGCAAGTTCAGCACTACATCACTTCCTTTGCAACCCATTTTTTTTTCTTTGGCTGGTGGCCTGTAGACTTACTTTGGGTGTCACAGTATCTGTGTCTACTGACTATAGTGAATGTGTTGTAATATGGAATAATTTGCAAGTAGCCCTAGGTACCACAGTAGTCAAAGCACTCATTAATTCACAAACCTGTATCTCCACTTTGTGGCAGTGGAGACACAGGTAACAGAATATGTGCATCTTAATTATGCACAGATCTGTATGAAAACTCTTTAGCATTACATGGGTTCATCTCAGACTCATGTGACACCGCTGCATGTGTACATGTTTTAATAAAAATGTGTTTGCAATATGTGCCATTTAATGTATAATACTATTTCTTTTGTGTGTAAAGAAGCGGGGGTGGGAGTGATATCTGATGATGTTGGGCTAAAATATTGAATTATTTAGAGACTGTACTAAAGTACCAATTGGAAAAGTATGAAAATATCACTGTATTTTCTTATATATATGGAACCATTAACAAATCATTATTCCTTTGATATCATCAAATTTATCTGAAATGTATGCATGCATGGGAGTATATATATATATATATATACTCCCATGCATGCATACATTTCAGATAAATTTGATGATATCAAAGGAATAATGATTTGTATGTATGCATGCATGGGAGTATATATATATATATATATATATATATATACACATACTCCCATGCATGCATACATTTCAGATAAATTTGATGATATCAAAGGAATAATGATTTGATAATCATCAAATTTATCTGAAATGTATGCATGCATGGGAGTATATATATACTCCCATGCATGCATACATTTCAGATAAATTTGATGATTTCAAAGGAATGATAGATATATATATTAATATATTTTTTTTTTTTTTAGGTTACCCATTGTGAACATGCTCAAACAGGCCTTTTAAGATATTTGCCAGTCGTGCAGGTCAAGCAAAGTAAGTCAAATCCGAAGTGTCACTGGCAGGGCTGCCATCAGAAATTTTGGTGCCCCTTACAAAGCTCCCCGGGGCCCAACTCCAAGACTACCATCACGGACAAGTGGTCTTCATGCTTTGTTATTTCAATATTCATTCATACACAATGGCGAAAACCTCAAATGGGCATAGATCCTACTTGGCAAGTTGTCAAGCATGAAGTAATAACATTTAGCAATAACCACCTTTAGATATTTTGATAACTGAACTCTATACCATCCAAATATGTTTTGTTACAATTAACCCGGGAACATTTAATATATGGCTCTGTCAGAGTTCCCCTTGTTTCTGTTTCTATTGGGGGGATATGATAGAAACATTTAAATACATAAAGGGAATCAGCACAGTAAAGTAGGAGACTATATTTAAAGGAAGAAAAACTACCCAAAAAAGAGGACATGGTCTTAAATTAGAGGGGAAAAGGTTTAAAAATAATATCAGGAAAAATTACTTTACTGAGAGGGTAGTGGATGCATGGAATAGCCTTCCAGCTGAAGTGGTAGAGGTTAACACAGTAAAGGAGTTTAAGCATGCGCAGGATAGGCATAAGGCTATCCTAACTATAAGATAAGGCCAGGGACTAATGAAAGTATTTAGAAAATTGACTAGATGGGCCGAATGGTTCTTATCTGCCGTCACATTCTATGTTTCTATTTCAACTTTCTAGGAGCACAAGAAAGGAATTTGAATTAAAGGTCGAGGGGGACTAAATTGCTAACTTAGGTGGGACAAAGCTTAAAGAAAGCAGGAACTGGACAAATTATTGGGTAAAAAAAAGGATTTGGGATCAGAATTGGAGCACACAGGAAGTATGTAAAACTGTTAAAAAGTCATCTATGTGCGTATATTCAAAATGCAATCATAAGTTCTAGCAACACAAGCATTCCTTATAAGATTAGTAGATATATTTACAAGTCTCCAAGGTATCGCTTGCGGCTTTGCTCAGATGAGGAAGTTATATAAACCATGCTCCAGAATAATTTATAATGATGCTGTGTAGAATGGATATACAGAGATAAATATGACTGGGAAATTAGGATTATTCGTATACAGATAGGGATAATGATATTTGTTGGGAAAAATCCACATTGCACCCTGAATTCTAAATAACCTTGACTAATAGAGTTTGTCACAGGAGACCTAAATGACCTTTTCTCTCTTTCTCTGTATCCACCACACTCGCCATCTCACCACTTTGCACAGAACAGACATCGCGCTTTGGAGGGGGCATTCTAGAATGTTTCTGAGCTTTCTTTGTCAAAACTTGGTTCTAACCATCAGCCCCAATCAGCCTTCTATATGTTTGAAGAATAAGGAATTTACATACACTACATTGCATTATCATGTCTTTATTCCACACTTATGTACACAACTGAAAGAAAGTAAAGCGCATATGGAGTTAAATTTCTAATGTTTCCTGGAGATAGTCCCATCAGATATAATCAACCAAAGGAACATTGTAAGATTTCTCAATAAAATGAGAGTTGCTTTCTTAATTTAGCATTTTACTATCTGAGATCATGACAATACAAACATTGACCAAATGGCAAAATTTCATCATCTTTATTTCAATGTCATATTTTACGTTTACTTTGCTGAATTCACAAAGGTTTGTCTTCTAAATAATCCAAATGATAGATTTTACTGACAAACCTCTAGACATCTCTAAGCCACATAATCCATTCCTGCACAAAATATTTAACTCTAGCCATTTATTAACATTCAAGCCTCTGGATTGGCAGGTCTCAGTACTCTATGAAAGATGGAGTGTTTTAAACTGATTATTTTAGGGATTATTTCCTTTTTTAATACCTAATAATTAACCATAACAGTCCACATCACATCAAAAAGCAATGTGCTCTTCTGTTCCCACTATCTCATCCACCAATTAAAGGCCAGAGCATCCGTGCACAGAGATTTTTTTTGTCAATTTCCCACAAGGCCTTTCAAGGCAGCCGTGACATTTTACAAATGCAAATCCATTTAACATGTTCACTGCAAAAACACTGCAGGATAAACCACTGAAATAATTGCATCTCGAAGATATACAAATACAGTGAGATTTGCCAAAGTAACACAGAAGGAATATTATAGGTTCTTATTTCACCTAATTTTTAAAGATAGAAAAAAAAAAATTAATGCTAATTACCAAAAGATAAATACAAAACAATCAATAGATAAAATAAAATAATGATTAAATACAATAAGAACCTTAGTGCTAATATACAAAAGCAAGTTAAATTGCCCACATAGTGACAATTTAAATAGAAATATAAAAAACATATGTACTTAAAGTACAAGCACTGAGTAGGTATAAATGGGGGGATCCAGTGTGCCATTTAGGAGAAAGAGGGGCGTCTTGGTAATTACTACCACCACTCAATACTGATAAGATTGAAAAAAGGTACAGATTAATAGTGCAACAGTCCTGCCCCTGAACACCGCCTGCTAAACATCTTTCTGATGTTCCATGAATCCACATTCAAAATCTATCTTCTTGACCAGGTAATTTCACAAAAATAACATCTGCAATGTAAATCAAGGCCACGACTGGGCAGGAAAAAATGTGTAATGGACATGGAAACAATGGGCACAATTTATCAAACTTTAAAACACAAAGCATTGCATGCAAATAATGCAGGTTGAGGGAGTAGCGAAGAGCAGGGCTGGATTAAGTCATTCCAAGGCCCTAGGCAGGGTGTCAGATTGGAGCCCTCTTTTAGAGCCATGGGCTCTGTTTCTGTGGTGCGTGTTAACTAATTGTTGTGTGTGTGTGTGTGTGTGTTCGAGGGTGAGAACTGTATGAGGGGGGAGGCTAAGTGTGTCTGTGTGCGCAGTTTGAGTGTTGTGTGTGGTGGCTGAATTGTGTGTGTATGGAAATTTAAATGTGTGTATTCCCCTCCCCCTCCCCCCCGCCTGCTTAACTTCCATAATGGTGCAAAGGAGGGTGAGCTGGATCATTAGTGGTCCAGCAGAGAGTGAGCAGAATCACTTATGACTCAAGCTGAAGTGCTCAGCGTCATCAAGACGCACTGAGGAATACCAGGGCACTCTTAAAGCGGTCTGTACCTGATATTGGTGCAGACCACAATTCTACCCCAAAGTGAGAGGCCGAGCAGTGAGATCTTTGGATTTCTCTGCGGTCTCAAGGAGGAACTGCCCACACTCGGGGCCAGAGCTCTACACAGCTAACTTATTCACCTAACGGGTAATTGGACTCTGGTAAGCCTTAGCATTTTAGGCAGGATGGAGGATGTTAAAATATAATTTCACTGGCCACCACAGTATATTTAGCAAGGATGTCTAACCCTGGTTTTACAATCATTGGACTACATTTCCTGAAATGACAGCAAACACGTACAGAGAACAGCAATAATCCAGAGAATGGAAAAAGATGCATTCATAGTCAGAACTTTCACAAGCCAACGAAAATCATTTAATTACTAAAATAATATGCATATTAGAAAATGGAGGACAAAAACCCCTCAGATCTTTAATTATGAATTTAATTAAACAGTACATTATTATTCACATGCCTTTATTAGTGTTCAGCATGAGGACTACATTCTTTCCTTGTAGGTAAGTAAGTAACCCAAAAATGGACTTATTATTAAAAAAAAAAAAAATACTTTGTGGGAATGTAGTTTTAAACTCATGGTTTTGTGAGCCAAACACATATAACCATTTCAGGTCCTTAGGTATGCAGACCCCCTTCAATCATTAAACTGTTAAGGCAATTTCAGAGCAGCGTAATCATATTGGCAAAATAAGGGAAAAAAGGAAAATTGCACTATTGCAATAAAAACCTCTTCTATCATTTAATACTCTTGAAACTACAGATTGTTCATGCTTGGAGCACTTTCACTTATCTGTTAAAACATATTTCTGCCTGTGGTCACTAAATAAGCAAATTTATAGAATTCTGCTGATCCTCAGCTCTTGTCCTGCAGAGAATTCTGTTTAATTGGCTTCTGTAAATCTAGTTCCTAGACTAAATGGATACTGGTGTTTAATTAGGATAAGGTCAATATTGTGTCTTTTTTTTGTGGTTAAACATATTTAACCTTTTCATCATAGTGATGTTTGAAGTTGAAAATGTTTCGATAGAATGACAGGTTTGGGGATCGTCGTAGTTATTTTGATTTACTTTAAAATGTCATTGGTAAAGTGATGTTGTATGTCATTATAATGAATGTGGACTCAAATACATCACTTGTACACAGTGTACTCCTAAGCCTCTCACACACTGGTAACTGGGAACTGGGAACTGAAATCTCTCTGGATGAGGATAATGAGCCATACAGTTCACAATATTATACATATATTATACATATTCATAACTCTTAATTTGACAAAGAGGGATATTTTCATATCAAGGGTGTGAGTGGGAGGTGCAGTCAGGGGTGGGACTGAAATTTTACAAACATTATGTTAATCTGAATGTAATTTAGAACAATACCAATGAAACTTATTTACTCAGAGTGATTTCTAAACACATTTATTGTAGTTTAAAGGTGTATTACTAAATGCTATGCATCAATACCTGCTTCACTACCTGATTGCTACCTATTTTGAATGCAATTAATATTACATGTCACTCTTTTTCACTAAAACTCAATAAAAAAACTATACGTTACTATGAGTATTATTTCTGTGGAGCTCTACCATACACTCAAACGTACAAAGTATATGAAACTCCTAAATCAATTAGGACATTGGAATAGGGGAGAGGGATCCGAGCCCAAAATATGGATTGCCTCTATTAAATGGGGACACTTGGCAGGTGTGACATCCCTGACCACTATCTCTATCAGGAATAATAGGAAAAGAATTTGGGGAAATGTAGTCCA